GCCATGCTGAGTTCAAACCTCAGTCACTACTGGCAAAACGAGAGAAAAAAAAAACACACAGAAATCGCCATTTATCCATTGATGTTGTTTGCGATTAGTAACATGAATGTCTGAAAAAGGACTAGGCATAGAGTGTGCAATATTTATTTATTTAGAAAAATGAAGGGGACAACTAACCAGCAGAAGTAAGAATTCCAGGTTAGGATGGAAATCATGGAACCATATTTGATTTTTTTCAGGCCTGTTCTGAGGTGTAATGGCTAAGTGCCTTCTATGTTAGGAGCTGGTGATCAGAATCATCAGAGTCCAAGTTACCTGGCTTAGAGCATAGCTCTCTCTGTGAAGAACCAAGAAGGCCCATTCTCTGTCTGGGTGCTGGTGGCTCAGATCTGAAATCCTAGCTATTCAGGAGGTGGAGATTTGAGGATCACAATTTGAAGCTGTGCAAAAAAAGTTAAGGCTCAACACTCAGGCTGAGTTCAAGCCCCAGTACACACACACACACACACACACACACACACACACACACACACACACACACACACACACACACACACACACACACACACACACACACACACACACACGCCCATCCTCAACACCTCCTGCAACTTGTCTCTAAAAGAATAGTGCACTGTGTCCTTTCTAACCCACACCTTTCTTTGTGCCTTAATTTCCTCATATGTAAAATGAGATGAGAATTGTTCAGCCATGAATGGTCGACTCCAACATCTCAATGTTATCGATCTTCACAGGAGAGGTAATGAGTCCGAATTGGGCACAGACTTGTACCAATTAATGTACTAGTTAAACTATTATTGTTATGGTCAGTCATCTTTATTCTGGCCTCTCATAAGAGTATGAAAAATAACTAACAGGCCTGTTAACTCACAACTTGCACAGTACATCAAAGTCTACTTTGTATATTGATCTTAATGTCAGATTCAATTTTAGTCATCAAGGTTGTAGTCTTTCAAGGTTACTGTTAGTGAATCAATTTCCTTTTTGGCTAGTGCTCTGCCACTTGAGCCACATCTCCAGCCCAGCTTTTTGCTGGCTATTTTGGAGGTGAATTCTCATGGATTTTTCTGCCTGGGCTGGCTTCAAATGATAATCCTCTGGACCTTTGGACCTCAGCCTTGAGTAGCTAGGGTTACAAGAAGAAGCCACTGATACCCTGCATATCAAGTTCTTGATTTTGAATTGAAAAAAATCTACAGCTCAGGCCACTCTTAAAGAAAATCGAGTGAATAATTCATTTATCAAAATCTTATCTGCAGGGATGGGTACATGTGACTTTGTATGAAAAAGATAACATGGTTATTTCCCCTATAAACTTCAGTTCAGAACAAAACACTGGCCATTGGCACTGGTTTTTAAAAAAGTGACAGATGATTGCCATTGCCTTATATTCTGTGTTCTAAAATCCTCTCTACTTGTGACTGGGATAGGGACCAGCTTCAATCCAGTCTGTATGTCTAACCTGAATTATCAGGAAAGGGGATTGAAGAAGATTCTGTCAAAATACACTGTGTTGTCAGACAGGGTGTTTTTGTCCCTAGGGAATGTTGGCAATGTCTGGAGACATTTTTGTTGTTATTCCAAATGTGGGGTAGGCAGCTACAAATGTTCATCTAGTGATTGGAAGTCTGTGAGACTCATCTCCAATTATCCAACAAAAAACCCCAGGAAGTGAAGGTGTGGCTTAAGTGGTAGAACATCAGACTTGAGTCAAAAAGCCAAGAGAGAACAGGAAATCCTGAGTTCAAGTCTCACTCCTGGCACCAAAATTGAATAAAAATGAAAATTGAGCTCTTCCCATAGATGGCTATTGAACATCACCAGCTTGATGTATGAACATACTGTTCAAGCTTTAATTTTAAAGACAACACCTAGAATGGATCAACTTGAATGCCTTATGTGGCACAATTGCTATGCCTTGGGGAAAGGAGATCGCTATTAACTCCTTCACAAAAGTGTTCATGATGGAGAAAGGCTGCCTTCAATTTGTTTCTGGCTTTCCTTTAACTTTGTAACCCAGACTTTAATTGTAAAGGAGCAAACATTATCAGGTACTGCACCAATACCTACTAACTCCATCCAAACGTATTACTCCAAATGAGTGACACAAACTATGAAAACTGTTAGTAAGTTTTTTATTGAAATAGTTTAGTATAACATTAGAAGATCTTAAAATTCTATATTCTAAACCAATGCAAGCACTGCAAAAAATGTCTTCTCGAATCTAGTTGATAATGTATCTAACAAAGGAAATTATCATGTGAACTTCTACAAGTTGGCTAATACAATTGAAGCTGGAGGCTAAACAACTTTGGTATATTCATATTTCTCTGGTTCCCTTCTTGAGTAGATATAGCCAGGTCTACCTTTATTCAGCAGATCTGGACAGGATCAAAACATTTGGTGGTTTTGCTTACGTGTCCAAACCTTGAGTGGCAAGAAAGAAGAAAATTCTAGGTTTAAGCTGCTCACGAGGAAGGCAATCTTTGTAACTTTTGATGAACTAGAACCATCAAATCCAGTCTGCATTTCCACCATGTGAGGCTAAGTCAAATGAGTTCATAAATGGATTCAGAGATTTTTGGAAAATACAAACATGGGAGCCAAATGAGGATAGAAAATACAAGTACGTATAGGTCAGAGAATGGCATGGAGATTTTTATAACAGGGTTTTATCTGAAGACCATTATTTTAACTCTTCTAAGATAATATTATCTTTAAGTCAACTGGCTTTTTAGTCATTTCAACATATTTAAACTTGCACCATTGTCTGTCGAGCTATCTACATACAGGTGTTTACAACGGTGTCCTCTTTTTGTACAAGCATAGATGTTCAAAAAATACAGATGTCACAAATTTAACAAAAGTATCAATTGCACAGCATCAAGATAGGCTCCTTACACATCTCCAACCAAGTGTTGAACCCATTACAGAGCTGACTTTACCAGATGACCGCACCATTCTACTCAAAGGCTCAGTACAGCTGTATGCTAGTTGCTGTAGCAATGTAAAAGTTCCTGTTGTCATCAAGTTTGACACTCTAAAGAATTCGGTTCAAGTTTTTCAATGACTTACTGGATTTGCATTTTTTTTGACCACTCTGAGATAATGAACTCAGGCCTACTGCTTACTAGACGGGCACTCTCCACTTGAGCCATACCCCTAGCCCTTTTGCTTTTGTTCCTTTTCAGGAAGGGATTTCCATTTTTGCCCAGGCCTGCCTGGACTAAACTCCTTCTACTTATGCCTCCTGCACAGCTGCTTGACAGGAATGTATCACTATGCCCAACTTATTTTGTGAAGATGGAGTCTTGCTAACTTTTGCCTAAGCTAGCCTCAGACTGTGATCCTATAGATCTCTACCTACTAAGTAGCTGGGATTATTGGCCACTATGCCTAGCCTAGATTTGCATTTTCTACCTGAAGCATTTAGATCAGGAAAATTATTCTCTACAGCTATTAAGATTCAATGAAGAGGAGAAGTTGCTTTTTATAAATCATTGCTAGATTTTATCTGCAGGCAAATCCTCTTCTTTGAAGTGGTTTGAAGACTTGAGTTGGTTGTCTCTCAACATGTGTACAAGAAAATTCTGAGTCAATGCTTGACTTTTGCTACTCAAGAGGATGCTATGAAGGACCATCTTATGGAAAATGCACTCTTCAGTGAATTCCCCTTCACCATCACTTTTGAGCCACTTCTCTTGAACAGTATCCTAACGGAGCAACTAATGCTTACTTCTTCTACTTGTTTCAGGCTTTCCTTATCCCCGCTTCTCATGCAACAGCTTTAGTTGAACTAGTCAGTTGCCAGAGATTTTATTTTCGTTATGAAGGGCAAAAAAATACTCAAAGCTGATGAGATAATAATATGCATTTGGTGGCACTCAAAATTGTATCTTTTCATTTATAACAAAATAGTGAACTGCCTAGTAAATGAGGAGACTTACTGGAGTCTTCATTTTGGTGGAAATCCACGTGAAATGCTGGGAGAAATTGGAAAGTGAAAGCAAGAGCTAAAAATATGTCCAGGAACAAGATTCGAGGACATGAGATCCATCCCAATTGGTTCCCTAGGGGACACAGGGGAGAACATTTATGTGACAATAAACTCACGAACTATGCTCTTGCAATGGTTTCTTTTCTTGTGTGGGTGCCAGTACTGGAGACTGAACTCAGGGCATTTGACTCTAGCTTGGCTTTTTCACTCATGGCTGTTCCTCTACCACTTGAGCCACAGTTGCACGTTTGGCTTCTTGCTGGTTACTTATAGATGGTCTCTCAGATTTGTCTACTGAGGCTGGCTTCAAACCATAATCTTTACGTGTCAGCATCCTGAGTAGCTAGGATGACAGGCATAAGCCACCAGTGCCCCACCTCAAAATGGTTTCTAAATCACAGCAATTATGGAACAATTTTTTTTAGGGCAGGATGTTTCAAGTAAGTGATAGTCATGACTCATCTTAAAAATGGAAATAAAAATGATGCAGAGCTCCAATGTCTTTGATATATCTACTCTCTGCTAAAAAATAGGTTAGTGTTCATTGTACACTAAATAAAATTTGGTCCAAATTAAGTACAATATTCATAATTCCTTATTTGAAACTCAATTGCTACTTTTTTAAAAAAGAAAAAAATTAAAATTTATAATATTATTCCTTGTCTAAAGTTCACTCTCAACTAAAGGGATTTACAGGGTTTCACCCAAATTTCCCCAGGCATTCTTATCATTATATATTTACACAAGAGGCTTTAATTTGAAGTTACCACTGGCAACCTCAAAATATATAAACTAGGAATTTCCATAACGGAATTTTAGACTTGGGAGTTGTTGCCTCAAAGTACTAAAAGAACAAAGGAGAAAATCACTTATCTAAGTAAGTCAAAGTAATAAAATACACTTCTCATTTAAGACAATTCACTTGAAGATCAAAATAACCAAAACCTTTACCCCCCAAAAAACAAGAAAGAACCAGTCTTGAGCTTTAAAGGGGAAACAATGACTCTCAGAGTATACAAAGATCTGATGCTTTCTGCCAGTGATATGCTATCATTACAGAGTCCTAATGCTAAAAAAAAAAAAAAAAATCAAACAGATGAGTGAGTAGTCCAAATAGACCTGCTCACATTTCAAATTCCGCATTTACAGTGGGACATGGCTGAACAGGTAAGACACAGACTCCCCATTGTGTGTCCTTCGGATGGCCTCGGCCAGAATCATCGAAATGTCAATCACCTGAATGCCAAAGAGAAAACAGTAGAGAAATGTTAGTTATACTGCCTTAAAGACTGAAAAACAAGAAAGACTGAGAATGACTTATTCAACATGAATGACAGTCAAACCTGCCATCCCTGTTTCTCTAGGGAGAACAGAGAGATTAGGGGTCTAACTTCCCATCAAAACCTGCTAAAACCATATGGGTTCCAGAGGAAGGTTTTTGGGTTCAGATGCCTAAAGTCTTCAGTGCTACTGTGAATGGGAGACATACTTTCCTTGGGACAGTCTACCTGGGCATTAGAAGGTTGTTTATTCCTCTCTCATTATTTCAGAAAAGTCAACTACTATATCCATTTAAGATCACAACATCATCTAATCCAGGGATCATCAAACTGCTCTTTCAGAAAGTCAACCTTGTTGGCTTTGTAGGTGTGATGTTACTTACAGATGCTCAACTTCCCCACTGCAGCAGAAAGCAGTCACAGGCACATATGAATGAATGGCTGGGCCTATGTACCAATAAAACTTTGTTTATAAGTATAGATGGTAGATTTGGCCTCTGGGCCATAGTTCATCATCTCTCAAGCTAAAATATTGTTCATCACTCAAAAGGAACCACTAGCTTAACCATTTTTGAACTTAGCTCCTTTCTCTAATGGATACAGATCCATTAGAGGGTCACCGTGTCCCACTTGCCTGCTCTACTAGGGGAACTAAGGCTTGGGAATGAAATGACTGGCCAAGGTTCACTGAAACATTGAGGCAAAACTCTTCTTCAGGCCAGTTGGTGTCAGGTGGTCAGCACTCTCTCTGTGAGAACCCAGGTGGGAGGAGTATGAATGAGAGGAGTTCTGGAGATCCTCAGTACACTACCCTCCTATTTTAAGTTGTGCTAATATAGAGAGAAAACCTAAAACTTGCCATCTTAAACCACTTGGAATATATATAATTGAATAGTATTAATTACATGCCCAATGTTGTGTAAATATCACTATCACTTATTTCCAAAACATTTTTTATCATCCCAAATAAAAACTGTGTATTCTTTCAACATGAACTCCCCTTTCCTCCCTCGTCTGTTCACTGGTAACCACAATTATGCTTTTGCTCTCCATCTACTCCTAATCTATGTAATTCATTCAAATCCAATCATATAATATTCCTGTTTCTGTGATTGGCATATTTCACTTAGCATGTTTTCAAGATTCACCCATATTGTAGCATATGTCAGGATTCCTTTCTTCTTTTTTTTGGGGGGGGGGGGGGTGGGGTCCGGTCGTGGGGCCTGAACTCTGGGCTTGGGCGCTGTCCCTCAGCTCAAGGCTAACACTCTACCACTTGAGCCACAGTGCCACTTCTGGCTTTTTTTCTTTTTGCTTATGTGGTGCTGAGGAATAGAACCCAGGGCCTCATGCATGCAAGGCAAGGGCTCTACCACTGAGCCACCTTCCCAGCCCTCCTTTCTTCTTAAAATCTGACTATGACTCCAGTATAACAATAGACCACACTTTGGTTAACTATGCATACACTGATGGACATTTGGGTGTTACTACTTTGGGCTATTATGATCGGTATTGCTACAGTTATTTGTGTGTAAGTTTTTGTTTTAGCATGTTTCCAAATTTTTTGTTGGAGGGGACACACCTAGAAGGGCATTACTGGGTCATAGAGAAATCCCATGCTTAATCTGGGTGCACTTATTTCTTACTGTCTTTCCACTGTGATTTTATTAGTTTACCTTTTCTAACTAGTAAACATTGCCCTCTACTGATCCTGGCACTTCTCAGGGACCTGATAGGATTCCTGTGGTGATGAGACACTGCAGCCTTAGCCAGCACCCATACACACATACACAGAAAGCTGGATGCTGGATTTTGCTTGTAGGGATGTGAAGTAGGTACCTTGCAGCTTGGTTCTCCCTGGGGTATAGATAGTACCTGAATCTTGGAGCAGTGTTTCATCTTGTCCTCTTGTGGGATTGTGTTGGTGACAACAACAGCTTCAAAGGCAGCATTATTAATTCTGGAAATGGCTGGCCCAGAGAAAATCCCATGGGTAAGAATCGCATAAACTTTGGTGGCTCCGGCTGAGAGTAGCCTATAAAATAGAAGATAAAAATTAACCAGGTATGGAAACACACGGCCTTGATGTCACCACTGGGGAGAATAAGAACGGAAGATCTTGAGTGTGAGGGCAGTCTGAGCTACATAATGAAGCCCTGTCAAAAACAAACAAAACAAAACAAACAGCCTATCAGACTGTCTCCTTAGAAAGCTGAGATCTGAGAGACAAATCCTCAAGGCTCTTATCACCAATTAACCAGCAAGAAGCTAGAAGTCCAGGCATGTTTCAAGTGGTAGAGAACTAGCCTGGCGGGTAAAAAAGTCAAGTGAGAGTGAAGTCCTGAGTTCAAGTACCCATCCCAGCATGCACATGAAAATTAAGTCTATATAAATATTTTTGAAATACTCGCCTTGAGTATCAGTGTTGAAAGTAAAAAGTAAATTCTATAAAGAAGATGAGACAAATTCCACTTATATTTAGTAGCCAAACCAGGAACTTTTAAAGCCTGTGTAAAAAAAAAATACTACTCTACTAAATCAGGAATTATCAACGTTAGCATTTGGGCTCAGACAGTTCTTTAGTCTGGAGTTGTTCTCTGCATTATAGGAAAAATTAGCAGCATCCCTGGCTTCCACCTAACAGCAATACTCCTCCCCTCTTAGTTGTGATGACCAAAGATGTCTGTAAACATTGCCAGATGTCACCTGGGGAGCAAAACTGTGCCCCAGTTTGTAAACTACTGGCTAAGCAAATGGAACCAAAATAGGTCATTTTGATGTGTGATCTACATAGAAAGTTTATTAGGAAATATCTGGTGCATCTCAAATGGGAATGGCCATATCTGGAAGGGCTCCTTAGCTGTGTGTGGCTCAGGGAGGCTCCTACCAAGGATGTCAGATCTTTCTAGTATCTGGAAAGCCACATGGGCAAAGGCTAAGCCATAAGAAGCAAGGGGCCCAGCAACACCCCACCCCCAGACTGTCTTCCCTTCTGGGCTCAGTTTCTGGAACAGTACTTCCTTTGACCGTTTGAAAAATATACTGGAAGTCCAATTTGGAAAATGAAAAGGCCAATGGTTCCTTTCCTACCGTGAAAAGAATGCCAAAAATAAATGCGTCTAGAAGAATTAGGGAAAGCAAGTCTGATTTTGAAAACAGGATATTTTGTCTTTCTTAAGGACATGCTTTCCTGAACCATCTCACATACTTATCTGCAGCGTGGCAGATGGTGCCGCACGTATCAGCCATGTCATCCACCAGAATGGCCACGCGGTCCTTCACGTCACCCACCAGAACCATCCGGTCCACTTCATTTGCTTTCTTCCTCTCTTTGTGGATCAGAGCAAATTCCACATTCAGCCTGTCAGCAATAGAAGTGACCCTGAGGACAGATGCAAATGAGCACGTTAAAACAGGTCTTTAAGGGTCTGGAGAATAGCTAGCATGCTTGAGGCCCTGGGCTCCATCCCCAGCACTGCCAAAACAATGGTGCTTAAAAACGTAAGGGGCTGGGAAGGTGGCTCAGTGGTAGAGTGCTTGCCTTGCATGCATGAGGCCCTGGGTTGGATTCCTCAGCACCACAGAAGCAGAAAAAGCTGGAAGTGGCACTGTGGCTCAAGTGGTAGAGCACTAGTCTTCAGCTGAAGAGCTGAGGGACAGCACCCAGGCCCAAGTTCAGGCCCCAAGACCAGCAAAAAAACAAACAAAAAAAGGAAGTCTAAAAGCCAAGCCCGGAGGGCTCACATCTGTCATCTGAACTACTCTGGAGGCTCAGTTCTGAGGAACACAGTTTGAAACCAGCCCAGACAGGAAAACCACCAAAGAGCCAGAAGTGGAGCTGTGACTCAAGTAGTAGAGCACTAGCCTTGGGCAAAAAAAAAAAACCTCAGGGACAGCACCCAAGCCCTGAGTTGAAGCCCCAGGACCAGCACAAAAAAGTAGTTTAGGAAGGTAACAAAAAAAATAGCACTTAAGATAATAAAAAGAATTAGAATTCACGTATTATAAGCCAGGCATGATCAGGGGCCTACACTAAGTGAGCCATTATTAGAAAGGCGGTAGGTGACGGACTGTCTTTATAATGGATAAAGCTGCTAGATAAGATGTTGACATTTGATTTATTTGTATTTGGGATATTTTTTAAAAATCATAGGTACAACTGAAAGCAAGTTACACAGTACCTACCACTGGGCTGCTTTGTGGAACAGATGATTGGGACAAAAGTTCCAGTTAAGGATGTCATGTCATAAGTAAGCATGTAAGAAGGAGCTCCATTGCACTCGACGCTCAAGGACAATGGAAACTCTCAGTCTGTTTCCTTTGCTCAGAATTGGAGGTATGGTTCACATGGTAACTCTACCAGTCTTAAGCCAGGCTTAAGCAAAACAGCTAAGCAAGAGCACAAGGCCCTGAGTTCAAGCCCTACTCTTGGCATAAAATATGCCAGTCACTGTGTAATCCTCTGATGACAACGAAGAGTAGAGTTGGACTGTGCCAGGATCAAGACTGGGATGGCAGCATGAAGCCGTACCTGTCCTAATCTTAAGTACTTCAAACATAGCAGTTTTGAAAACTGGTAAAATCCAAATGACATAGATTATCCAAGTGTGTTGGTACTGGGGCTTGAATTCAGTGCCTTGCACACACTCACTTGGCTTTTTTGTTTTGGGGTTGTTTGTTTGTTTGTTTTGGCTAGTGTTCTACCACTTGAGCCTCGTCTCTACTTCTGGCTTTCTGGTGGTTAACGGGAAATAAGAGTCTCATAGTCTTTCCTGCTTGTGCTGGCTTCCAACTGAGATCCTTGCATCTCAAGCCTCTTTAGGATTACAGGTGTGAGCCACTGGGGCCCAGCTTAGATAATCATTTAAACTACTTAAAGTAGTATACATTTAATGGCACTAAGTACATTCACGATGAATACAGCTGTTACCTCTATCTAGTGCCAGAAGGAAAATTTCCATACTATCAAGCAGTCAATCCCCATTCCTAGACTGGCAGGCCTCGTCAAACACTATCTCTATATTTTTAACTGGTCTACATTTCTCATTTCTCATATAAATGCAATTATACTATATATGCGGCCTTCTCACTCTGGCTTCTTTCTTTAAAAGTTTCATCCATGTTGTAGCATATATTGGTACTTGATTTTTTTATGGCTGAGTAATCGTCCATTGAATGGACATAGCACATTTAATTTACCTACTTGTCTGTGGTTGGATACCTGGGTTGATCTCTGTAATTTGGATAAGGGGAACATTGCTGTTGCAAACATTAGCACACACACATCTGAGTCCTTTTTTTTTTTTTTTTTTTAAAGGTTTGGGCATTTACATTACAGTAGAATGCTGAAATCTTCGGAACTCAGCCCATATCTTCAAGCTAGCCTCTTTTCAATGCTGCAAAAGAATGTAGCAACCAGTCCCAAGCCTTAATAACCCTCTCTACATTAGAATTACCAAGGCTGACTTCTATCTCAAGCAACCGATAGATAAATGAGGTAAGTGTAAGGGAAAGCTTCTCTTATTCCACATGGCTACATCCCTAGACCCAGATGACTTTTGGAGTTCTAGACTACACTCTTGTTAACTAGGCAGCCTGATTTCCTTTCCCAGTGAAACAACTACAATGCTAGATGACACTGAAATCCAAGGCAACTACTTTTACAAATCCATTGCCAAGCAGAGATGGCAGCAGAAATCATCAGTGGGAGCAAAGGCAGAAGTAGGTCACCATGAGAAGCCAGCAGACAGCAGTGTGCTTGCTCTGAGGGCTTCTCTGGAGTCCTAATAATCAGGGTTCAGTTTTGCTGACAAGGGATGAAAGATCAAGTCTGGAGCCAGACTGAATGGAGGGTGTAAACAAGAAACCCTGACATAGCACAAGGCCACTAGAGGGCCTTCCATCAGACTTGGAAGGAGTGAAAAACAAACCTGCTGCCTAGGAAGAATGTTCACTGTCTCTGACTCAATGCTGAGTGAAGAAGGTTAGTTCTTTGCAGAATTCAAAACCATATCTTGATGCTTCCTAAAGGCTGTCCAGTTCAAACCCCATGACAGACCAAAAATATATATATATATGACTAAAGGCTGTCCAAATTCCTATTTTGAATACTATGAAAACCCTCAAGAGCTTATTTAATGGAGGAGCCCCATCTCCTCAGTCTGAGTGTTTAATTTAAAGTGAAACTGTGGAAAGTTTGAGGGTAATGCTACAAGGTAGTTGGCAACAATAAAAGCAAATACTCTTGGAAAGAGGAGAAATGTCTAAGGAAAATAAGAGATTCACAGAATAGTTACAAACCAAGTCAGGAGAAACATCTGCAGCCAAATTGTAAGATCCTAGTATGACATACTAGCATTAGTTGAAAGGCAACATAAAGTGATTGCTTTGTTTTGTTATTGTTGTTGTTGTTTTTGTTGGTTGTGGGGCTTGAACTCAGGGCCCCCATGGGCCCTGTCCCTGAGCTCTTTTGCTCAAGGCTAGCATGCTACCAATTTGAGGCACAGTTCCACTTCTAGTGTTCTGGTGGTTAACTGGAGATAAGAGTCTCATGGGAACTTTTCTGCCCTGGTTGGCTTTGAACTTCAATCCTCAGATCTCAGCCTCCTGAGTAGCTAGGATTATAGGCATGAGCCTATAAAGAAATAAATTATAAGCTTAGATAAGAATAAAAAAGATGACAAAGACTATCCAGGCAAGGGAATAAAAACAAAGAAAAAGTTTGAGAAATAGAAAATAATCAGACATTTCTTAAATACTCAATTGGTAAAGGACTATAGAGCCAACACTCAAAGAGACAATGACTGAGACATCGGTCATCACCCAAAGACATCAGTCTTCAGATCCAAGAAAAGCTGAGCAAAAGGTCTGATCAATACATGGACAACTCTTCAAAATAAATTCTAACCTGTGAAGAAGAAACAAAAGCTGTTTTGTACTACATAAACAGTTTGAAAGCAATTGAGATGGTGGTTACAAATCCAAATAGGTCAGTAGTTATAGCAGAAAAAGGAAAAAACTTCCCAATAAAGTAGAGACTGTTAGTCATAAGATACTAATTTTAGATTTTTTTCTAATGTCTTTGGAAGGCAAAGGAAAAGTGTTACTATAATGAAGTCTATGTTTGTTTTCCTTTAAAAACATCATCCTCAGATAGCAACCAAACCCACAGTAACCTGAGCAGACAGCCTTCATTTCTAAAACCAACCTACCAACTTTCCTCACTTAAGGATTTAATGGAGAGAAGAAAAATGTAATTTGAAGGCAGACAAAACTCTTGCCCCATAATCACCTCCAAATATATACTACTGTACATGCCAATTTCACGAGCCAAGCCACTTGAAATGAATTAAGTAAAACTCATTTATCAGAATATAGGCTGGTGTTTCCCAATAAAAGGTACCCGAACACCTTGTGCAAAATGGAAATACACAATAATTTTGGTTTTTTGGTTATTTGATAGGGAGCAGAAAGGCCCTGGTCCATGGTTTTGTGTGGGAAAACATTGCCATTCGCACCTAGAGCTCTAAGCCTGTGAAGTCTAGGCTCAGCCTGATTTTCCTGTCTACTAGGTGACTTCTGTCCTCACAAGATGGTTACCTAAAGATAGCCAGGAAGGCATGGAAGCCTGTCTGGAAAAAAGGGTCAGCTCTATAGTTCATGATAAAGTAGCCTAAGATCCCCGCCAAAAGCCCCCTGGGATGCTGGACCATTATCATTCCCTGTAAAAGCTACAATGAATTCTTTTTTCCCATGTATACAATGAGGACATAATACATGTTCCTGATATGTTATGTTAAACATATCATATTGAAATCTTAGGTGGAAAGAGCTAGAAGAAAAATCAGATAGATAGCAATATATTTACATTTTTTCTCGGGTGCGTGTGTGTGTGTCTGTCTGTCTGTCTGTCTGTGTGTCTGGTATGTGTCTGTGTTCATGTGTATGTAAGCATGACCAGGAGAGACAGATATGTAATATACTAAATTATACCCACTGGTTTCACTGGTAAAGATAGAAGGTATTACATGTTGACTAATTTTCTAAATGTTTTTATGTACACCACATCCAAAGATGCCATGATCAGAAAAGAAAGTTAAATCCAAATCACGTGGTTTCATCCATTTCCCATATCACTTTTAGGTTGCATTTATCTTAACAATGGTAGGACTTTTCCTTTCAACCCAAATCCAGTATCAAAGACTACTCAAGAGTGACCTCCAGTGGCAATGTTAAGTTTTACCCACAATGAATCACATTTCCATGCTTTTTTTCTAAATCAACCAGGCCTGATTTCTCAAATACTTATTTTCTTGGGTGAACATGACTGAATTAAGCAAAGGTGGTAATGGTAATGTCCACTACATGTATCATATACTAATTTTGAGGCTGTTAGTTGGATGGGACTGTTAGTTGGAGAACAAACTGCTCCAGAACATAAGGAGGATAATGACATATAGCGGACACTTGGAGAAAGGAGGTAACAAAGATTCCTAAATGTAGGTCAAAAAATGTTGGCCTTTCCTGGCCAAAGGATCAGGGTGGCTGAGCAGGACTGCACTGAATATGTCTGAATAAAATACCATCTCAAACCTGGCCATTTACTCTACATTTGCCCCAAAGCAGGACTTAGTAAGTACACAGAAAAATAAAGTATATAATAAAAGGTGTTTCACATCAATAGAGAAAAGGGGAAACGTGTGTGTGTGTGCGTGTGTGTGTGTGTGCGTGTGTGCGCGCACACGCGCACATGCATGCGCACACATCAGTGCTGGAGCTTGAACTCAGGGCCTGAACGCTGTCGCTCAGCTTTTTCTGCTCAAGGGGCACCCTATCACATGAGCCACAGCTCTACTTTCGGCTTCCTTTTTCTTTTTGATGGTTATTTGGAGATAAGAGACTCAGAGTTTACTGCCTGGGCTGGCTTTGAACTGTGGTTGGTCCTCAGATCTCAGCCTCCTGAGTATTAAAGAAAGTAAAGAAGGTAAGTCCTGCAAGTATATTGTTGCAGGTCTGTACAAGTTGCAATAGCTGTAAGTGGGTTGAAGGAAACTGACCATAGGAGTTATGACATATACATACAAGGGAATGTTCCATAGCTATCAAAATCGATCAAGCCAATCTGATACATAACTGGAATTATTGCTACTATAGAGCAAGTATGCTTTTTTTTTTTTTTTTTTTTTTTTTTTTTCAGGGCCCCAGGCCGCTTGTATGCTTTTTTTTTTTAAAAAAAAAAAAAGCTCAGTGAAGAAGTATAAATAGAAAAATTCCCATTTGTATTTGGGAACACTACCATGGGAGAGAACAAAGAGAGGTTAGTCACCTTTAATACTGTTTCAATTTTGGCAAAGAGCATGCATGGTTATTTTTTGACCATATATATAAAAATAGGGCTGGGATAGGAAAAGACACAAAAAAGTCTGTTATTATTCTCTGTGCTTAACCTCTATTGAAGTTACATTTTCAAATTTTAAAAAATGGATAGAGAAAATTCTGGAAATACAGCTGCATAAAGACAGAAAAAGTTAAGTACAACCAGAGGCTGGGGCAGGAGGTACAGGAGCAGTGCTCATGGGCACAGGGTTTGTTTCCTTTTAGTGTGATCAAATGTTCATTTGTTCAAAATGGTAATGGCTTCATAAATCTGTGAAAATACTAAGAAAAATCCCACTGAATATTTCCTTTCAATGGGGGGACTGTAGGTTCCTGGATCACAAGGTGACATATGTGTTGTTATCCACCAAGGGCAGCTAATGCTCCTAGACCCCTTAGCCAACGTCTTTGCCTTGAATCAGCAAATTTGCTATATTCCAATACATATTCTACCATGTGACTTCAGTAAGTTTCCTATGTCAATTGCAAGCATTTCCAGTGGAAATGACTCTATAAAGCAGCTCACATTCTGAAGCAGATGACAACTTGGCATGACTCAACTGCTCTCTCTGTGGTAGCTAATGGCAAGCCCGTGTAATAAGTATCTCTCCTCCACCTCTGCCCGTCTAGGCCTTTGCAAGCTAACTGTCTGCTGCTTTTATATATTTGTGTTTCCTTCCTGTGCACAGCCACTTCCTACAGCTGCCAGAGGCTCATTACCAGCTGTAAGGCCCATTTCTTTCTCCTTGACTGTGATAGGAACCTGAGCAGCCATTGGATGGCAGCTGAATACAACTATGCTCTTCCCAGAATCTGAACCAAAATTTCCTTGCATGGCCATTGTGACTGCTTTCTGGACACTCTTACACTTTATTTTTGCCATTACTGGCACTTGAACTCAGGGCCTTAAGTGCTCTTGCTTGGCTTTTCTCTCTCCCTCCCTTCTTCCCACCCTTCCTCCCTCCCTCTCTTCCTTCCTTCCTTCCCTCCCCACTTTCATCTTATAGTTTGCTCAAGGCTGGCATTCTACTACTTGAACCATACCTCCATTTCAAGGTTTTGTCAGCTTAATTGGAGATAAGAAATTCATTTCCTAGCCAAGCTCTCTTTGGACCATGATCTTCTTGAGTAGTGGGGATTACAGGCATGAACTTCCAGCACCTGGGTCACTCCTAAGCTTTTAACTGTGATTCTAGGTTCCCATCTTGGTTCCAGGTGGATGAGGATACAAATAAGGCATAGGCTTCTATATATGCTTTTTATGCACATATCTTTGGGTGGTTCATGGGATTGAACTCAAGGGCCTTGCACCTGCTAAGCAAATGCTCTCCCACTGTGCTATACCTCACAGCTTCTGCGTTTCAAGAATGTCATTCAAGTTGATAATCTCTCCCAACTACCGCTGCACATCAATAACACACATTTATGAACTTCTGTCCTTTAGCACTAAGCTAGTGGCTAGTGATCTATCTTATCTCTCCTTTTTGTATGATGGCTGCCACCTGGGCAGTAAGCCACAATTCCACTTTCATTTTCTTCCCCAGTCACAGCTACCAACTTCTGCAAGGTTCTGAGTTACCAGCCTTGGCTTGGGGGAGGTGTTATGTATCCAATCATTACTCTGGGCTTGGATTCTCAACATCCTGTGCCCTACTGGCCCAGGATGAAAGACTCCTTGGGTCTCTGTAAGCCTTGTAGATTTGCTATCAGGACCACTTTCCTAGGTGAGCCAGCATGCCTGCATTACAGAGCTGTTTGTATCATGTCAGTTTCTGGCTCTCTTTGTTTTTTAGTTGTCTTTCAGATGTGCTCATTTGACACACTAGGACTTGGCCTCTCATCCTAAAATATTGGCTGGCTAAATGCCACCTTGTCTGTACACACTGGGTCCAGGTAGACTAGGCCCTCTGGGCTTGCTGGCTCATCAGGCACTCAGTCATGTTCAGCAGGGAGGGCTGTGGAAGTCTTCCTCCGCAGTGACTCAACAGTGTGGGACCAATTCTCACATTAATTTTCACAGTCCAGGGACTGTGTGCCCCAGGGAAGACTGTATATTCCCCACACAGCTGCCCACAGCACATGCTCATGGTTTGATTTCTCATGGGTGACTATTTTTTTTATCTCCCCATCAAAGGTTCAGCCAGCTGGCTAGAGGCATGGCTTTTAGCCTCTATCTTCCTGAAGCCCAAGCTGCCAACAACTTTCTGGATTTGAATTCCCTTCCCTCAGGCCACCAGAGCACATTTTTCAGCCCTTCTTTATTTCTTGACTTTAGATATTTCTATTTCTTGGTGTTCTACACACACAGACTCCTTTTTTATCAAATTCTATTCTATTGTGGCTAACATTTTGAAGTTGTTATAATAGCTAGCATTAATTAACTGGGCCAATAAATTGTATTATTAATGAAAAACATTTTCTCATTAAGCTCGTTACTTTTATCTGATGAATATAAACATAAATACACAGTGTGTGTTTGTGGGGGGTTACTACTATGAATGATAAAATGTTGACAAAGAGTAGGTTTCCATCTAAAAGTGAAGCCTCTGGTCTACTTACTTGCTCATTTGCAAAATAGTGTTAGCATTTTTTTGAGGCAGGGTCTCACTACATAGTCCAGGCTGACCTCAAACTTGTGAAGCTTCTGTTTTCATTTCCTAAGCTCTGAGATGATAACGGGCACCACCATACTCTGCTTAAAGTATTAGGTGATTTAAAGTATGTTCCCTGAGGTTGGAGGTTAGCTCAGTAGTAGAGTACTTACTTAACATGTGTGAGGGTCTAGAGTACTTACTTAACATGTGTGAGGGTCTGCAGTGTCAAAGGAAAAAGAGAAGGAAGGAAGGAAGGGAGGAAGGAAGAAAGGAAGGAAGGGAGGGAGGAAGGAAGGAAGGATATACGGAGGGAGAAAAGACAATAGAAGAGAAAAGCATGATTTCTTGTCTAATACATAGGAAATACAGAAAGGAAAACTAAGAGGGAAAAAAATAAAAGTCTGCAGAGTGTAGCTTGCATAATACCTTTTGGCTCCCCCCGCATCGGGGGAAACAATGATACAGTTCCTCCACTCGGTGATATTCTCCCGAATCCACTGCAGGACTGCTGGTTCCGCATATAAATTATCCACAGGAATATCAAAGAATCCCTAAGGGAAGCAATGTGGGTCATAATTACAAGGCTTCGCTTTTTTCAAAAAGATGCTTACTTTCACTAAGTAGCATGAATTACTGTATTCAAAAGAAGCCTGCACACAATACTCTCCTCTTTTGTACATTTTCACAGAATTAAATCAAGACAGATAGCTGGACACCTTTCATTCCATTTGGTCTTTAGGTAGTCTATCATTACTGTCATCACTCATGATGGCCTGGCCTTTGGGGAGAAAACAGCTCTACAAAGGCAGTGGGGAAAGAGGGTTGTTGGTTTTCATGCCTATTACAAACCAAATGTTTATATTCATTATAATTAATGAAGCAGGCACTGTTAAGATGGTCTGTTTTAGAGGCAAACACACCAAATTGTAAAAAGATTTTTAAATATGGCTGAGTACTGCTGCTCATGCCTATAATCCTAGCCTCTCAGGAGGCTGAGATGACAATTTGAAGCCAGCCCAGGTAGACAAATCCAAAAGAAAAAGTGCATTACACCTCTATCATTCTAATCATTTTCCATAAGTTTCAGTAGAATCATATAGTCTCTAGTACCAAGAATCGTATAGTCTCTAGTATCTAATCTTCTAAAATGGACTGGAGGATAAGTGGTGTGAGACAGGAGGTATCAACATCCATTCCTAGTTTAGTGAAGACAAAAACTTCATGCTACCTCCTTTTAAAATGATTTAAGTTGACAGAGCATTAGGACCTAACTATTGGCAGAAAGAAATGGCTGGTACCTGTATCTGAGAGGCATGTAAGTCCATGGTGATGATATGATCAGCTCCAGCAACCGAGAGCATGTTGGCCACAAGCTTTGCAGAAATTGGAGCACGGCTCTATGAAATAAACAGACATTTGATAATAGCCAATAGACCACTGGGCATGGTGGCTCACACCTGTAGTCCTAGCTACTCAGGAGGCTGAGATCTAAGGATCATGGTTCAAAGCCAGCCCAGGCAGGAAAGGCCATGAGAATCTTATCCCCAATAAACCACTCAGAAAACCAGAAGTAGTGCTGTGGCTCTTGTCTTGAGCTGAAGAGCTGAGGGACAGTGCCTAGGCCCAGAGTTCAAGCACCACAACTGAAAAAATAGGGAATAGACCCCCTCATACCAAGAAAGACATGAGAAAAGGAATCATACACAGCATAGACAAAGTGGAATCAGGAAAACGACATGCATTGTCACAACACAAGGTGTATTCATTCCATTTTCATCATCAAATACGCACTGTTGATGTAGACTAATGGGAATCAGTGTGTTTGATACTTGGTCTAGATTACAAATATCCAAGAAACAGTGAAGCAGTTAGACTGTACATGTAATGTTGCCATTTATATAGTTCAAATGATAAAAACTGGGTATAGAGATTTCCATGCTTTGGCTGGCTTTGCCTTAAAAATGATTTTTTCAACCAGCAAAAGCAAGGAGCATTGTTCTAGAAGGACAGAAAGGCACACGTGGGCTTACTAAAGCCAAGACATCATCACAGAGTCAGCCATGGACTGAAAGAATCCAGCTATTAAAGAAGCATTGTGTCCTGACAGCTGAAGCTAATGTCATTACAAATTAAACAAAAACCAGGTGGAAGAAAGAACACTATCAGGCAGCTGCTGATTTAATATGGAGAGAAATAAACATATTATCACTTATTGACATTATGTTCCTTTGTACAGTTAACTAACTTTTTTTTATTACATTAGTTTCCACATCATAAATTGGGAACAATGAAACTGTCCACATCAAAAAGATCCAAGAGACTATACAGATATCATTAGATGGGATCTAAGAATTCAGTCATTTTCTATAAATAACAAGGTTCTTATACATGAGCCACCAGAAAGAAAAGGAAATAGAAGCTTAGAAGATTTCATTCAAAATAGTAACAAATCAATGATTCCATTAAACCCATATGCACACATATAAACACAAGGGAAAGAAATCAAAATGTCCACAGGTTTTATTTTCTCTAACACATTAATTCTTTTTAAATTATATATATATATATATATACATATATATATATATGTATATATATATATATATATATATAACTTTAAAAGTTTGTACCTACATATAGCTCTTTAAAATACAAAGAAAAGGATGAGACAAAAACTCTCCAAAAATATTAATGGGCTGAGAATGTGGCTTAGTGGTAGAGTGCTTGCCTAGCATGCATGAAACCCTGGGTTCAATTCCTCAGTACCACATACACATAAAAAGCCAGAAGTGGCACTGTACCTCAAGTGGTAGAGCACTAGCCTTGAGCAAACGCAGCTCAGGGACAGTGCCTAGGCCCTGAGTTCAAGCCCCAGGACTGGCAAAACAAAAAAATGTTAACAGTATGTTTTCCTAGAAACAGACTTTGGAGAAAGTTTCTTTTTTCTTTCCTTTAATTTTTAAAAAATCTGCTCTAGTATCTATATACTATAATTCATTGCTGACCTCCCCTATGCTATGATCTATGAAACCGTTTTCAGCAGCATTTTTTCAGCTTTGATATCTCAAATCCTCCAGCCAGTTCGGCTGGGGCCTACTCAGAGCAGTTCCTCCCCCTGGCTCCACATTGGTGGCTGAGGCCACAGCTACCTGGTAGGCTAAGAATGGTAGCAAAACGTTCCAAGGCCAGCCTGGGTAGAAAAGTTGCGAGACTGTGTTTCTCAACACAAAGCTGTACACAGTAAAATGTTCTTGTTATCCTAGCTACTTGGGAGGCTGGCAGTAAGAGGATTGTGGTTTGAGGCCAGGTTGTGTAGAAAGTACAAAAGTTTACAACTCAGAGTTGGGAAAGTGGCTCAGTGATAGAGTGCTTGCCTTGCATGCCTGAAGCCCTGGGTTGGATTCCTCAGCACCACATAAGCAGAAAAATCCGGAAGTGGTGCTGTGGCTCAAGTGATAGAACACTAGCCTTGAGCTAAAGAGCTGAGGGACAGCGCCCAGGCCTAGAGTTCAAGCCCCATGACCGGACCCAAAAAAACAAAAAGTTCACAACCCATGGCAGGCTATGGTGGCATCCATTGCCTAAAAGATGGGCTGCAGGAAGGCACAGTGGCTCACAATAAGCTTAAGTCTTCCCAAAATATACACTGGGCAAATGTTTTATAAATCAGATTGAAAACATCAGAGTCTCTGCTTATTTTCAAGTCGCATTCAGTGCTTCAAATACCATCCTGCTAAATGAACATTTCAGACTTAAAAAAAAATTACAAGGTTGTGGAGATTAGTGTTCCCTACCAAATGAAAAAGAGGCAATATTTGTATCACTGAAACAAGAACATGGCCTTAAAAATGTTCTGATAAAAGAAAAGAAACATCCCAAGCTGAAAGTCCTTCATCCCTATCTTCAGATAGGGATGTATTCTTTATCTCACGCACAGCCCTGTTCTCACAGGGGAGGGAACTGGCAGTTACACTGTGCCTCCTCTCCTATGGCATGGACCAGCTGACTATGGCTTGTGAGTCAAATCTGCCCATGGCCTGTTTTTGTTCAACTGAATTGCTAAGGATGGTTTCTCCTGTTAGATGAGATTGAACTAAAAGAAGAGTATTCTATGACATTTGGTGGGTATATAAAATTCCTAGTTCAGTGTGTATAAATAAAGTTTTATTGCAACACAATACACCGGTTCTGTTACACGTTGGCTATGGCAGCTTCTACAATAAAATGGAGATGTGGAGCTAGAGCAATAGATTGTCCAATAGTCTGCAAATTCCAAGTATCTGACATGTACCTCCTTTGATAAAGGTTGTCCCTTAGTGTATTACAGGCCAAGTACTTCAAAAGTAGTAGCTAATAGTCTCAAGTTATAGACAAGGAAAATAAAGTTAAAAAGTTTAAGTAACTAACAAAGAACAAAGAGCAATTAAGTGCTGGACTTTAAATCTGAACCCATTTCATACCAGACCTGAGACCACTTTGGTACCTTTTCTTTTGCTGGTCCTGGGTGGGGCTAGAACTCAGCACCTGGGTGCTGTCCCTGAGGCTCTTTGTGCTCAAGGCTAGAGTCTACCACTTGAGCCACAGCACCACTTCTGGCTTTTTCTGAGAAGTTCGCTGGAGATAATAGACCCATGAGCTTTCCTGCCCAGGCTGGTTTTGAACCACGATTCTCATATCTCAGCTTCCTGAGTAGCTAGGATTATAGCTGTGAGCCACCAGTGACTGTGCTTGAAACAAGATTTGAAGATGGTTAAAGGTCACAAGATTTTTCTGGAATTCTTTGTAGGTGCTTCTAAGGAGAGCAATTTCAAAGAACTTCATTGCTTCATGAGATGTCATAGGCAAAGATTGCTACTGTTTTTAAGCCGCTTGGCTTGTCAGAAACACTAGGAACTTAATAAACACACCTATGAGTCCTTCTCTTCAACTCATATTCTCCAATAGCATATGATTTGATTTCCTGAGCTGCCATATGAACTGTCTCACAAACGTTATCCCATCTTTGACTCTGGGTGGTACATAATCAAAATGTTATCTCTTCCACTAGCAGTAAAGTTGGGAAAACTCATGGAACATGTGTGCAATTTGGAAAACACATCTAAATAGCTAATGATAATAAAACTGGTAAGCTGGCATTAGTGGCTCATGCCTATAATCCTAGCTACTGAGGAGGCTGAAATCTGGAGGATTGAGGTTTTAAAGCAGTAAAGGCAGACAAGTCCCTGAGACTCCTCCATCTGCTTTGGCAGGAGCAAAATGCTGTGCTGGAGGCATTACTCAAATGGTAGAGCATCAGCTGAGCAAGCATGAGGTTCCTGAGTTTAAGTCCTGGTACCAGCAAAACAAACAAACACAAAAAAACAACAAAAGGAAGGAAGGAAGGAAGGAAGGAAGGAAGGAAGGAAGGGAAGGAAGGAGGGAGGGCGAAAGACAGGGAAAAAGTGAGGAAGGAAGGAAAAGGAAAAGAGGGAGGGACGGAGTGGGGAAGGGAGGAAGGAAGAAAGGAAGGAAAGAAGGGATGGAGGGAGGGTGGAAGGGAGGGAGGGAGGGAAAGAAGGAGAGAAGGAGGGAAGAAGAGAAATCTGGTAAATAGCTAGATTATGCAATTCTACAATTGGACAAAACCACTTGGGGCTTCAGAAATTTTTGGGCTTTTCTTGCCAGCACAGTGGATGGGGACAAGGCTGGCAATTAGAGTCATAAGCTTGAGGTAATCACACTTCATGCAATGCAAGAGACAAGGGACAGCAACACTAGTTTCCTTAGTACACAGACTCCATTATGAATAAAAATAAGAAACTAGTTAGAAACTACAACCTTGGACAAAAGAGGCAACAGAGAATAGGATAAATGCCAAGAAATGCAGTGTCTGAATATTTCTGTCTGTTAAAGAGAAATTTAAAGCTACAAACTGCTCAATTGTGGAAAAGGGAATAAGAGAATAAGAGAAAAAATGTTCTGAAGAATATAAAATTAAGTATCTCAGGGCCAAACACAAAATGAAAAACCTATCAGAAATAAAAGAACTTGATCAAGATAATAGTCACACAATGTGAGAAGCTACAATTATCAAATATCTCTGGACCAAATACAAAGCCTAATAGAAAAAAAATTGAATTAAGAAACAGTCAGAGCTGGGTATTGGTAGCTCATGCCTGTCATTCTAGCTACTCAGGTAGCTGAGATCTGAGAGTCACAGTTTGAAGCCAGCCTAGGCAGGAAAGTCAATGAGACTCTTATCTCCAATAAACTACTCAGAAAAATCTAGAAGTGGCTCTGTGGCTCAAGTGGTAGACCACTAGCCTTGAGCACAAAGAGGCTCAGAGACAGCTCCCAGGCCCTGAGTTCAAGCCATAGGACTGGGGGGGAAAAAGAAGTAGTCACACAGTGTGAAAATTTACTAAGTCCCTTTTCACATGAAAGAGAAAAAGTCTCCTTTATGACACAGACAAGAATGTGCACATTAAAATATCTTGGAAGAACACACAGGCAGAAGAGCTAAGTCACACATTACTGTTGGGATGAAATTTCCAAGTAACTAAAAATACCATCTAAAACTTGAGAATCTTGTCTAAAATAAAAGAAGCTGTATAAATAACAAGGGAGGACGTGGCTTCATAGCAGCTTAAGTTACTGACAGTGTGGGCTGCCTACCAGCTCAAAAGTGACAGACACACCGATGGTATAGACATGGCTGGTGTCCTCAAAGGATCATGTGCTAGAAGCAGTGTGGAGGTGGTGAAACTTTACAAAGTTGGGCCTACATCCGGGCAAAAATTCACAAGACCCCAATCTTAACAGGCAGAGCTGGGCCTGGTGGTGCAAACCTGTCATCTCAGCTATATGGGAAGTATGAATAGGAGGACTGTGGTGGAGGCCAGAATAAATCAAGACCTTAATTCCTTTTATAACTTGTGCAGGAACATGACCCTACGCTCATCTTTTTATTTTTTTGTCCATTGTGGGCCTAGAACTCAGGGCCTGGGTGCTGTCTCTGAGCTTTTGCACTCAAGGCTAGCACTCTACCACGTTGAGCCACAGCACCATTTCTGGTTTTCTAGTGCTTAATTGGAGATTAAGAGTTTCATGGATTGTCCTACCTGGGCCAGCTTCAAATCATAATCCTTCTATCTCAGCCCCCTGTAGGCAGGATTGTAGTTATGAGCCACAGGAAACTGGCTCCCACATCTTGGTTTCAGACATTTGGCTTGTGAACTTGTGAAAAAATAAATTTCTGCTCTTTTAATCTACCAGGCTTAAGGTAACTTGTTTTAACTGTCCTAGCAAACAATCTCATTCCAATTCCTCTCAATCTCCAACTTCTTATGTATCTTGAAGGTTAAGACCAACTAAATGTTCTTCAACTTCTCCAGGAGACTTACAGATGCTCCTCTAATGCTAATGTTGATAAAAGAATATTCAACCAATATTAACTCTTTTCTTATTATAAAGTTAAAAACAGATTAACGAAGTGTATTTAATCAACCTTTTTATTTTGGGAGACTCATAGGTTCACATATGGTTGTAGGTAATAACAGCAGAAATCCTATGGGTCGTTCAGCCAGCATCTCAAACCTGTAGCATAATATCACAACTAGGATCCTGACACACATACAATCCTGTGATATACTTTGGATGTTTTCCAGTTTAACTTGGAAAGGGGTATTTGTGCATGTATATAATCTAATCCACCACCACAAATATATACAGTATCATCATGCTCTGGATAATAATGGTATTTTGTTTGTTTTTGTTGCCAATCCTTGGGCTTGAACTCAGGGCCTGGACACTGTCTTTGAGCTTTTTTGCTCTAGGCTAGTGCTCTAGTATTTGAGCCACAACTCTACTCCTGGCTTTTTTTGTGGTTAATTAGAGATAAGTGTTTTATGGATTTCCTACCTGGGCTGGCTTTGAACAGATATCCTCAGATCTCAGCCTCCTGAGCAGCTAGGATTATAGGTGTGAGCCACCGGCACCAAGCTAATAATGATATTTTAATACCTGAAAAAAATGTGCATCATCTATGGGAGGCAGAGATTGGGGGGTCATAATTTGAGGTCAGCTTGGGCCAAAAAAATGTTTGTAAGAGTAACCAGTATCTGGGCATTGTTGACATGTGTCTATGAAATAAGCCATGTGGCAAAGCATGAAGGGGAAGATCACAGTCCAAACTGGCCTGAGCATAAAGCCAGAGAGCTTATTGTGAAAAATAATGAAAGCAAAGAGGATTAGCAGAGTGGCTCAAATGGTAGAGCACCTTCCTAGTTCAAATTCCAATACCACCAAACAAATCAAAAGGAGACCAAGAAAGCCAACACTTCCCTGATATTCTAATAAGGGTGGCATGTGAGAAGCTCTGGTGACCCAGAACAGGATTTTTGTTTTGTTTTGTTTTTCCTGGTCATAGGACTTGAACTCTGGGCCTGGGCACTGTCCCTCAGCTCTCCAGCTCAAGGTGAGCACTCTACCACTTGAGCTACAGTGCCACTTCCTGCTTTCTGGTGGTTTATTGGAGATAAGAATCCCAGGCTAGGCTGGCTTTGAACCACAATCCTCAGATTTCAGCCTCCTGAGTAGCTAGGATTACAAGCATGAGCCACCAGTGCCTGGTGACCCAGAGCGTTTATAGGACAGGACACACCTCTCCTACCTTGTCCTTTTTGTCTTGCCGGGCATATGGGAAACATGGGATCACGGCGGTCACCCGGGAAGATGAGGCAATCTTGCACGCGTTGATCATGATAAGCAGTTCCATGAGGTTGTCGTTAATTTCTCCACAGCCACTCTGGATGATGTAGACATCTTCCCCTCTTACACTTTCACCGATCTCAACGCTAGAGATTAAAAATGGCATCATAATACTAAGTAAATCTATCTGTGTCCCAAGGGCTCTTGGATACTACACCAAGTTTGTGATGTACAAGGCCCTAGCCCTAAGTCTGAGCATACAGTCACGCCATGATGGCAGTTTACTAGAGGACATAAGAAACTCAGCAAAGGGAAAAAATATGTGAGGGCAAGCTGGAGGAAACCAGAGCCTCCCTTTGTCTCCTCCAGATGAGTAACAGAAGTTGAACGCAATGCCTCCAGTAGTGAGCTGTGGCAACTCAAACCCAGTGTTGCCCACTAAGACCCATGGTTTGTCTTGAGAGCTGGTCACATAGGTAGCCTTTTGCCTAATGAGTATCAAAATCTCCCATTCTCAGGCAAGTATTCAGCATAGATTATATTATTCTGCAGTTGTTACTAGTTAATCTGCACTTGTAATCCCAGCTACAATTCCTGGTGGAGATTGGGCAGATCATGGTTCTAGGCTAGCCTGAGCAAAATGTTAGTAAGATACCATCTCAGCCAAAAGGCCGGATATAGTGATGTGTGTTGGTAATCCCAACTATGTGGGAGGTATAAGTAGGAGGATCTAGGGTGAAGGCTGGAAGTTGAAGGCTGGCCCCACTAAAGATCATGAACCCCATCTGAAAAATAACTAAGGCCAAAAAAGGCTGATGTGGTTCAAGTGGTAAGATATCTGCCTGGTTAGCATAAAGCTCTGAATTCAAACCCCAGTATTGGTGCATAGGCACAGACAGACAGACAGATACAGACAGACAGACAGACAGACACACACACACACACACACACACACACACACACACACACACACATGCATGCATGCACACTTTACCAATGCTGAGCCATTCTTAACAAGGAATGCTGCGAACTGTCAAAAAAAATCAGTTCCCAGATGCCAATGGCTGACTTTGGGAAGGACACCTTTCTCAGTTCCAGTCTGGCTATGTTAACTCTTTTGTGTAAATTATGATGGCTTTAGAGATTTTTTTTTTAAAGCTGCTATACAAGAATATTGCTTTAAAATTCAAATCATTCAATAAGGTTTATAACAGACAGACAAATAGCCTGGAGGCGATCAATTTCAAGTTTGGCTGTGCTTTTTAGCTATCTAAGGCTCTAGCAAAGATGTGAGTCTTGCTGTCTTGAGTTGAAACTTGGAGCATCACCCACTTCCTTGTCATTCGTGAACAGGAGGTCGTCATAGCACATCCTCTCTGTCCCATCACGTCCCTCTCCGATTCTCAACCAAGATTCACGCTCACCTTACAGATAATCTCAACTGAGTAAATGATGGGCAGAGCAACATAGCCAACTTCAACCATGTCTATTTCCTACCACACACAAGTTGTTACTCTGGGTGTAATATCTGTATCTTGTTGCTGGACTAAATTTTCTAAGTACTACATTGCAATTCGACTGCGAACACTCAACTAACGATTTAGCATTTCCCAATGTGTTTCCCCACCCTGCAGCTGGTCTGTGGGAGCTGCTTGACCTGCTTCATCCTCTGCGTGTGCCCAGCTGTGGCCTGGGGATTCCTATCTCTTCTCTTCTGCACGCCATTTCCCATTTTCTGACATGCTAATTCCTTGAGAAGCTGTGAGTCCAGGCTCACTTTTGGCAAACTACATCATGTGGACATTTCTGTGTCTGTAGATGTAGAATTTTCTTACAGAATGGAAGAAACATCCCTGACAAGGAGGAAGAAAAGCAAAAGGGCCACATGCTTCGTGTAGGTCCTTCACAGCACTGTGGAGTCAAAAAGATGGCCGGATCTGCTTCAACACGTGCTTTGAAAAGGCAAATTTGTTCTCATACTTTTAAATTTGAAATGAGAGCACTGTGTGAACTTTGCTTATGTCCAATCTCTTATCTTGAGTATAGAAAACTAGGGCTGCAGATGCAACTCAAGGGTTAAAGCACAAGGGAGGGAAAGGGAGTAAAGGGAAGAGATAGGGAGAAGCAAGCATAGGGATGGGAAAATGCATGAATGTAGCAAACAAGGACTAGGTCCCAACTAGCCTCATGATCTCAGATAACCCTCCTTTTTATCATGTACTAAGAACTCCAAAGTTGCAATCCTTTTGAGGTGCACATTCACAAGCAAAGGCAAGGTGCCCTGTATGCTGTATAGTTACACAGCATTTCAAATACATAAGCTGTATTTTTTGTTACATCACTGAGGCAGTTTTTCAATGTTGTACCTAAGTCTTGTAACTTCTATTTTCTTTTTATTTAAGATAGAGGCTCATTATATATTGCAATTTGATCCAGAGCTTGATACACAGGCCAGGCAAACCTCAAACTTGAGATCCTCCTGTCCTAGACTTCAAAGTTCTGGGATTACAGGTGTATACCACTATGCCTGGCATACTCTGTGGCTTTTAATTGCACAATTTGCATAGTATGGAAATTTTTAGGAATCCATATGTTACATTACAACAGCACTGGCTGTAAGCAAACTCATCCAAAAATAAAATATAAGGAATTCACATGTGAGGCATGTGAATAATTATCCTTCTTTTCTCCAAAGACCAGAAATAAGTGATATCCAATTACCTTATTTGATTTAAAAGGCCAAGTTAATAATTAATGAAAATCTAAAAACAAATCAACATTTAAGATGCCATGTACTAGTCTATGTAAATGAACAGAAGCTTATATTCAACCGCAAAGAGCATAAATAAAAGATGACTTCTTTAAGTGACATGTTCTTCAACTGAGTTTTGATAACATTACATTGTGTTCCTGCATGTTCTCTGCTATAGATATCAACAATTCGCTAGCAATTGAGGATGGAAACAATAGAAAAAAGTCCTTTGTGTGCCTCCTATTTTGAGTTAACATTAACTTCTTTATAAACCTTCCATCAAGTGTTGGGTGAAGCTAATTATGGTATATCTCAGGTTGACAAAATACAGTGGACAGCCTGTGTGTGTGTGTGTGTGTGTGTGTGTGTGTGTGTGTGTGTGTGTGTGTGTGTGTGTGGTGTGTGCCAGTCTTGGGGGTTGAAATCAGGGCCTGAGCACTGTGCCTGACTTTATTGTTCAGGGATAGCACTCTACCACCTGAGTCTCAAGTCCATTTCTAGCTTTTCTTTTTTGGTAGTTAAATAAGGATAAGTTTTCTGCCTGGGTGGCTTGAATCATGATCCTCAGATCTCAGCTTCCTGAGTAGCTAGGATTATAATTACGAGCCACCTGCACTTACCATATAGCCAGTTTTTCATATGGCCCATCAGCCAGGAATGGTATGGTAGGTAGGGCCCTCCCTGATAGCCACACCCTAATCCTTCGAATATATTAGACTATACAGGAAAGAGGACTGTATTTGGATATTAACCAGATAGCCCAAAAACAAGATGTTAGACTGGATTATTTAAATTAGCCCCATGTAAACTGGCTTGTAAAATGGGACAGGGACACAAAAGAGATCTGAGCCAGGTGCTGGTAGTTTGTTACTCAGGAGGCTGAGATCTGAGGATCCCATTTCAAAGGTAGCCTGGGCAGGAAAGTCTATGAGACTCTTACCTCCAATTAACCAGCAAATAAGTGGAAGCAGAGCTGTGGCTCAAGTGGTAGAGCATTGACCTTGAGTGAAAAAGCTAAGGAAGAGTTCCTAGGCTATGAATCCAAGTCCAAGTACCAGCACAGCAAAAGAGATCAAAGGCAGAAAGAGAAGTGATAAGTGAGGCACTGAAGCTGGAGGAAGGAACCAAGAACCCAAGAATGTGTGCTAGCATCACAAACTGGGCAAGGCTAGGGGCTGTATGCCACTAGTGCCCCAGGCAGAAGTACAGCCATATAGAGCCATGAAGGCCTTCGAACTTTCAGAACTGTAAGAAAGAGCAGCAACAGAAACTCCAGATAGGCAACAGTGCCTAAAATATTTACGATCTGGCCCTTTACAGAAAGTTTCTCAATTCCTGATCTTACAACTGTTTATCTCACAAGATTAGATTTTTGTCTTGTTTTGTTTTGCCTCCCTTAGGAACAGCAATCTGTCTAGGAATAGCAGTCCAGGAGAGGACAGAGTTCCAAAGCCCGCTTGGCTTTTCCTCATAAATAAGATCTCTCTTGGGCTGGATCCTAGGTTTTTCACATTGTGGGGATAGAAGGGTGCATCCACCTTCTGGTCAGCCAAAGGATCATTTCTGATCCCCAAACAAAGAAGTAGAAGTATGGAACTTACTCAACAATGAGTGGCTGTAGCAAAGTTTTGTTTTGAACATTTTTCCCAACAAGAAGGAGGATCTACATCCATTTCCCTCAAACCTGGAAGTACTCTGGACTTAAGCAAGAGAACATGAAAACAAATAGTGATATGCTAACTTCCAAACTCAGGCCTTAACAGAGTGGTAGCTGCTTCTTGTCTTAGGAAACACTCCTGTTGGAACTCAGCTTCCATGCTGGAAGGAAGTCCAAGCAGCTCTGAGGAATGAATACTAGAAGAGGAACCAAATTCCTATCTAGCCTTCCATGTAAAAGCTAGTAAAAACCATGTGAGTGAGCCACCTTGAAAATAGATCCTCCAGCCTCTGTACTCACCCCAGCAGACACAAACCTCCCATGCCCAGCCCTGCTCAAATCACACATTTTGTAGCAAAAAATAAACAATTGACAATGTAAGCCACTGAGTTCTGCATGATTTGTTTCATAGTAATAACTAGTATCTTGGGTCCCTCAGCACAGCTAAGAGCTTGAGCAGCAGGTTAAGTGACCAGACTAAAATGGTACAACAGAGACCTCCTGAGTGCTGGCCTAGGAGATCAGGAATTTCTGATGCCTGTAAGAAGCTACAACAGATTTTACCCTGCACATCTGTCATGATAGGAAGGTGAAAGTAGAAGGCTCTGATTAAGTAGCACATATGAAAAGATGCATGGACTAGAAGGACTGATGATCTGGAGAGAACAACCCAGGTTTCTGGTCTTGGCTCAGTGAGAGATTGCAAAAGAGGCTTTATAGGTGAATTGAGTCAACTTTCTCTTCTTTTTGCCTTCCTGTTTTACTCCTCTATGGGACCACACAGTATAAATGGATTATTAGCACGGTACCTGAAACAGAGAGAATTGTTCATCAAAACCAACTTCCATCCCTATACAGTTCATGGGAAAAAGTCAGGAAGTTAACCTTTTAAGTTCTACATATTCAAAACATAAAATACAGCTCTATAAGCAATTCTCAGGTTCCAGGCTGAGTTGGTTTTCAAGACTTTATGACTTATTTCAAGTGTGATTAAAAGATACTCAGAACCAATTAAAAATTAGTCTGCTTCAAGCCAGGCACTGGTTGCTCAGGCCTGTAATCCTAGCTACTGAGGAGGTTGAGATATGAGGATCACTGTTTGAAGCCAGCCCAGGCAAGAGTCAGGGAGATTTATCTCCAATTAACCAGCAATAATCATTAGTGCAGTTGTGGCTCAAGTGGTACAACTTCCAGCCTTGAGTGAAAAAGCTAAGCCTCAGAACCTGTACCACAAAGAAAAGCTTGCCTTATATTGGAACCAAACATGAACAATCATACTTGAATATCTGCGTGAGTTTCATTTAAGCCTATAGAGTGATTTATGCAGAAATCCAGCTTTGACTGAGCAAAAACAGGTCTAAACCAGCCATGCTTTGAACAAAGGGTTGAGCTGCATTGAGATCACAAGAAAAGGCAATGTAATTGTTTCCAAAACCCACGTCAATTACAATGTCTCCATATTATGTTTCTATCAGATGTCTTTATTCTGACTGGCAACATACTGTAACATTGAAACCTAGCTCAGTGTTTCTCCTCAGTCTTTTGACTACCCTCCCCAGTTTCTCCATTAAACCCTCCCAAGGGGAATTCTTTAGCTTGACTTCTCCAGGCAGTAATAGCACCTGCCATCTACTCATGCTGTTTGATGGAACTACAATTTACTTCTTGCAAGGAAGCTTATAACCTACAATCTGACTGGTCCAGGAAAAAATTTTAAGAAAGCATCTTTGCCATCAGTTACAACACAGCTCTTGCTATGGAATTCCCCGCCCCCCCCCCCAAATTTTCTTCTGGTAACTTTTAAGTTGTAGATCTTAAAGCCTATGATGCATTTGAAGTTAACTTTTGTAAATAGGGAGAAGTATGGATGGAGGTTCATTTTGTTTTCAGGTTTCTTTTTCTCCCATGTGGCTATCCAACAGCTTCAACACGATTTCTTAAAATTGTTCATTAAACTGGAACTTTGCCAAAGATTGAAAAGTTATCCATACTGGTGTACAGCTAGCTGTACTAAGCACATGGGGAGAGGGGAAAAGAGGCCAACTTGAAACTGATCAAAGAGCTTCGTGGATTTGGGCAGGTGGAAGAAAGAACCCAAAGCCCAGCTTCTGAAGATGGCCATCTCCTGATGGCACTAAACCCCGCTGACCACGACTTATGCACTTAAAAATGGGTTGAATTTACAGCAAAAAGGGAGCCTTGTGGCTGTATACTGCCGACTCCTAGAAATAACAAAGAAGCTGCAAGTCGTTCAGCTTAGAGGCAGCAAAGTTAGGGGAAGCAGGCGAGCCCGGCACGTGTGTCCGGTACGGGATTTTCAGGCGCTTTGAAACTTCTGCAATGGATAAAGCGAATGCTGGGCACCTGGGGCGGGAGGAACCCCGATCTCGGGTCCCGTGGCTCAGACCCAGGGCCCAGACCCCAGGAAGGCACGTTTGAAAAGACCTCAGGTAAACAAGGGCACGGGATGTGTGCGGAACCTATTGTGTCACACACAGGTCTGGCGTTTAACTTGGCAGGTCAGAGAGGGGAAACTGGGAGGGGGGCCAAGCTCCGTCCTCCAGCACTCCCTGCACGGATGCAGACACTGGGGATGTCGCCGGCGGTCGGTGACCACCCTGATGTCGCCCTTCCGGACTTGGGACGTCACAGCAGGCGGCGCAATTGGAAGGCCCCGACACCTTCAGCCGGCCCCTCAAAGGCTTAGCCCTGGGCGCGCACGCGAAAGCGGGGAAGGCAGGAGGGCACCCCTCCTGGACCTCTCCCCTGGCGCAGCCGCGGTGGCTCTGAGGCCGCGTTGCCGCCGTCCCGCCCCGGAAGGGTTGCACGGCGCCCGCGGAGGTGGCTCGAGCATAGCGGCCCCACGCTCGGCCCCGCAGCCGCGCGCCTGCCCCGTCTCAGCTCCCACCTGGTCTCCTGGTTGCTGAACTTCTTGGTGACCACCTTGCCCAACTCCAGGCCCAGGCGGTCGGCGACGCGCTGGGACAGGTCCTGGTGCGAGCTCCCGCTGAAGAGCACGATGTTGGGCATGGTGGTTCGTGGGTTCCGAGGAGCGCGCGGTGAAGGCGATCGCGACAACGACAGCGACACAGACGGCTGTGGCAGTTGCTGCTGGAGCGGGAAAGCACAGCGACGAGACCCGAGCTAAGGGGAGGAGCTAAGGGGGAGGAGCTGGGGGAGGAGCTGGAGGAGCAGGAGCTGGGGGAGGAGCTGGAGGGCGCAGGGAGCTGCAGCTGCCCACATAGCCCTGGTAGTTGGATGTGAAGCCTTGGATGTTCCCAGAGTGCCCAGGTGCCCAAAGAATTTTCCGCTTAAACTTGACCTTTCTGACCTGCCTCTCGGGTGACATCCAATCATCCAATTAACTAGGCACTGAAAGACAGAGAGACACGAAGCAATCAGAGAGATAGCTTTCAGCCAAGGGCTATGCCCTGACCTGGATCGCCCCAACTCCTTGTGAACCACTGTTGCTGAACTGCAGCAAGGCAGTGATGGTGGCATAAACCACCATTGAAACTCCATTAAGAGAAATGCTTTACCCCACTCCCCCCCTCCAAACCCTCCTTTTCTTATTGGAAGATCTGTATTACCAAAAGATCAATTCAGATATTTTGTATTTTAAATTTGGTTGATAGAACTGAGTAGGCCACGTGTCTACCGTTTGGGATTTGGGAGATTATTGAACTATTCATATCCTTGAGACATTTCATATGGACCCTTGTGCTTTGCAACTTAGTTTACCATGTATTATGAGGATTTCTTTTAAACTCCTGATAGATCTGCTCGTCAAAAAAATTGCCCAAGACACCATTTCCAGCAGGGTTCTACTCTTCTCTTTCTGCTCAAAAAGGTGTATGTATTACACTAGAAATATTATAATTACATTAAAAGCCTTGCCTTCAATGCTTCATTATCTATACATAGTTAGGTGTACTGAATGATAATACTTCTTTAAATGACGGACCATATATACAAAAGTGGTCCCATAAGGTTATTTTGCTTAGTAAAGGTGTTTTGACTGCCTTAGTTTTAAATACAAGGCCATAATATTCACACAAGGATGAAATCGCTGAATGAGGCATTTCTCAGAACATAGCTCAAATGTTAAGCAGCACATACATAGTTATATTTCAAAATAAGCTAAATTAAATTTACATACTTAATTACCATAGCGTTGATATTTAGTCTCATACTCAAGCATGTGTCTGAAACTTTTCATCAATGAGGCTGCTAATATAATTATATTTAAACTACCCTAATAAAATTTCTACTAACAATATGACCGTAATTTTATGTTCTTGAAATTTCTCTTGTAGATAAAATAATGGAATTCCTCTAAATATATACATATTCATCTCAGAGCGAAACTGGCTTCCTATTAGCATTCTTTGATAAGATATATGAATTATAAAGTACTATTAAGCCTCTAATCTCTGGACTGATTAATGGATAGGGGTTTAGAAGATAGAATTTGAAATGTGACTTTTAACACACCATGACCTTGACACAATTAGAGAGAAGCAATATTGGCAGTGGAGTGACTATGATGATGCTGTTGGGTTAACAGTTTGATGAGTTTCTATGCTTACATATTCAGTGAAGAAAAGGGGCAGTATTCCATTGTCCTAAATGAGATCACTAATAACATTCATCAAATATCTTCATAAATGGGAAGGATAACTCTTGCAGTATTTACATAACATGCACGAGACCCTACATTCAATCTCCAGTGCCACCAAAGAAATGAATAATAGTACAAGCTTATGGTCCCTGCTACAGGTATTATCTGTACAAACTCTCTCTCTCCCAGCCTCCTTTTCCTTGATCCATAAGCCACATTTTAGAGAAACCAGGACCTAGGACAGCAGTTGTCAACCTCAGCACCTTTGACTCATAGACTGGTAACTTTGTTATCACTCTTTGTTGTGGGGCTGCCCTATGCATTGGGAGATCCTTAGAAGGACTCCTGGTGTCTACAGACTAGATGCCAGAAGCACTTCTCTACCAGCTGGGATAACTCAGCTTGTCCAGACATTGTCAAAAATCTTTCAGGGACAAAACCACCCTAGAGTGAGAAATCTCAGAGATGGAGTTTGTGAACTTTTCTGCCTGGCACTAAGCTTTTAAAAAAATATTTTTGGAGTATTTAGCATTCTTTTTTTGTACTAAGTCTTCAAATGCTGATATACATTTTGTGCCTATGGCATATTACAATTTGGATTCATCATATTTGAAGTACTCAACTAGTAGGTTTTTTTCATTCCAATATTGTGTTTAAACCTAACATATTAACTTGTCAGATGCTCTGCCTATTAGGGATAGTGATATCTGTGACCAGTTTTAGGTACTGGCAGCCAGATTCCTCCTATTAAGGCCGCATTTTGCCCTCCTTGAGTGCAAAAGTTCTAATTATATTCAAGAAACTTAGGATACAGATATTTTAAGAGCAATGGCTGAGCACTTAATCCATTTGCCTGTGTCTTTTTGCCATGAATGTGGCAAGTAATTTATAATGGTACAAAGCATTTATAAACAATTTACTTAAAGATACCTATAATCCTAGCTACTCTCAGGAGGCTTAGATCCAGGGGATGGATCTTTGAAGCCTACACAGAAAAACACAAGAGACTCCATCTTCACATAACTGACCAAAGGTAGGGTGGAGGTGTGGCTCAAGTAGTAGAGCAATGACCATAAGCAAACAAGCTGAGCAAATATGAGGCACTGAGTTCAAGTGGGGTAGCAGAAGAAGAAAAGAGAGTGTTAGACTGAGTTTAACTTTATTTCTCTTTTATTGCCTTTTCCACTACAATCAAGTTTTTTTTCTCATTTTAATTTCTACATTTTTCAATTTTTACATGATTATTTAAAGAAAACATTTTAAAAGGTGAGTATAAGAATAACCATATACACTTCACCTCAATTTTGAAACTCAATTTTGTTAGGTATTTTCTTTATCTATTTTTTGAAGCATCTTAAAATAAACTACAGATATCACATTTTCATTGACAAGATCTTTAGTCTGCCTCTGTAAAAAGATAAAACATTATACCATATGAAAAAAATTAATTTGAGGCATAGAATTCCATTGTGTATATATACCACATTTTCTTGATCCATTCATCTACTGAGGGGCATCTGGGTTGGTTCTATATCTTAGCTATGGTAAATAATGCTGCAATAAACATAGTTGTGCTGGTAGCTTTAGTGTGGTCTTGTTTGTAAACATTTGGGTAAATGCTCAAAAGTGGGATTGCTGGGTCATAGGGGAGCTCTATGTGAAGTCTTTTCAGCAACCTCCATACTGCTTTCCAAAGTGGTTGAACAAGTTTACACTCCCACCAACAATGAAGTAAGGTTCCCTTCTGTTCACTTCCCCTCCAGCATCTGTTGTTGTTAGAGTTCTTGATTATAGCCATTCTAACTGGGGTGAGGTGGTATCTCAATGTTGTTTTGATTTGCATTTCTTTTATGGCTAGGGAGGTTGAACATTTCTTCATGTGTCTATTGGCCATCCTTCTTTCTTCTTCAGAGAAGTTTCTCTTTAAGTCTTTCGCCCACTTATTTATTGGGCAGTTGTTTCTTTGAGGATTTGTTGTTGGGGGGTTTAATTTTTTGAGTTCCAAGTATATTTTAGATATGAGACCCTTAAATGACACTGCCCCATTTGTTAGGAAATGGAAAAACTTGGAAAAAATTTTATTAAGTGAAGTAAGCCAGGCCCAAAGAAACATAGGTCCCATGGTTTCCCTTATTTGCAATATCTAGTATATGTATGAGTCAAGCGGAAAAGGTCAGATAATGTGATGTTAGGAAAATGAACCCTTAGATATGTATTTTAATGCTTTTTTATTTCATGCATTTGTTTCTAACGCATTTATAAGATTATCTCTTTGTTGCTTTGTATATCCTTCCCCCACAGTATAACCCCTGCTTTCACTATATTTGATGTCAGTATAACTTGTGGAGGAGATGGGGAAAAACAAGTCGTTTAAGGATACAGGTGGATCTGTTGCAACAATGAGAAGTACAAGGTCATGTCAAAAACGAGCTTTACAACGTTGGTGGGGGGGGGAGAGGAGGAGAGAGGATTGGGTGGTGGGGAGGGAGGGGGGAGGTTGGGAAGGGATGTGAAGGGTAAACAAAGGAGGAGGCTGCAATGCTTGATAAGAACTGTATGCATTATCCTGCCCATGTAATTGTAACCCCTCTGTACAGTATGTTCTCAAATAAAATAAAATAAAATTTAAAAAATTAATTTGAAATGGATCAAAGACCTAAATATAAGAGCTGAAATTAAAATTGTTAGAATATAAAAACATAGGTACAAATCTAAAGCTGGGTTAGGCAGTGAATTCTCTAACATGGTAGAACATCAAACACAAGCAACAGCAACAACAAAAATATAGAAACTGAGCACCAAAGTTAAAAACTTATTTTTCCAAGGATGTTATCAAAAAAGTGAAATACAATCCAAAGAATGCATGAAAATATTTGTGAATCATGGATTTTAAGTTTTACTTGTATCCACAGATTGTGGCCACAACTCAATAATAAGATGACCCAAATTAAATGTGGAGCAAGGAACCCATGCATGGGTGTCTTTGGCAGCTTTATTCAGAAGTGGCAAAACTTAGATGCAACTGGAATGTCATTCAATAAGTGTAGAGACATTAAGGAAACTTCACTATATGTTGATAACTGAAAGAAGCCAATCAGAAGAAACTTCATTCAGAATTTATGTGTGACAGCAACTACATGCCTTTCTGTAAGTGGCAGAATTACCCAGTGCAGAGATCAATGGTTACTTGGGTTTTGAGGGGCATGCCGCAAATGGTAGAGTTATCTGCTTAGCAAGCATGAGGCATTGAATTCAAATTCCAGTATTACCAAAGAAGGGTATTAAAAATGTAAACAATTCGGCAACATATCTGAATATATATTTCTCTAACAATACATAAATGACAAACAATTAAAAAGGTGCTCAAAAAATATAAATTAAAACCCCTGTAAGATACCGCAGCATGTCTACTACAAAGGCAATAGTCAAAAGGACAAATGATGCTCAGTGGCGATGGAAATGTGGAGAAACTAGAACCCTAGCCCACTGCTCACACCTCTGTCTTGGACAAGTCTAACAATGAACCA